GTCTGATGTAATATTAACCAGGACAGAAAGTAAAACGAAGTGTTGTCAGATCCTTGTAACCAAAGCTTAGACAGATGATCTGTACATTATATATTAATCATTTGTTAGACACCGACTGTAGTGTGGGTAGGAGCACGTGTATTTCCTTGATGGACTTTAATAAAAAAAGAACATGGTTATTTTTTTTTTAATTTCATTATTGTTTTATTTTTCCCTGATTTAAAATGGAAACAAACTATTTCGCTCCCCTTCTGAAAATATAAAATCTCTTTCAAGAAATTTGGAATCAAACATTTTCCAAAAATGTTGCCCCCCCCCCCCCCCCCCCCCCCCCCCCCCCTCACCAAAAAATGAGCGGCTTCCCACAAAACCTTTTATATTGCGGGTAACTGCATGCGGTGGTGCTTTCGTGGTAGCATGTTCGCATAGAGTGGAAGAGGTCATGGGTTCGACCCCGGCCGGGTCAAATCCAAAGACTTTCAAATTGATATTTGCTGCTTCCCTGCTAAGCCCGCGAAATTAAGGATAAGAGCAAAAGCTGGTCGGCTCGGAATCAGAAGAATTTGTCCGGGTAAGGTGACATGTCTTCCTTCGGAAAGTTACCTTGTGAACTAGCATGTTAAAAATCCGGCTCAGGGTGTCGGTCTAGTACAAAGCAGGGTTAATATTCATATCACATTACAGCTATTTTCCTAATGCATGTAGTTTAAAGGTTTGATTGGCTTGATTGCTTTGTTTTTATAACTGTTTGCTCATGCATTTTAATTAAGTTTTACAATTCTAATCAACAGATAGGCTGGGTTTCAGCTTGTATGATGTTATTGAATGCTTGAACAAACATTTATACAAGCAAAGCAAGCAAGCCAACCAAACCTTTAAACTACATACATCAGGAAAATAGCTGCACGGAAACATAATAAAAAGCTGAAAGCAAATGAAAAACATCGAGTTGAAGTTCATTCCATATCTCCTTTAAAGCATTTCGGATGAAAGAGATGGGCGCTCGCTGGTCGAGTGGTGTGAATAGTCGAACTACTGTATCACTTGTCTGTCGACACTTAGGTGTGTGAGTTCGAATACCGCATGTGGCAGGTAAGCTCAACTCCTATCTTAATTGACCGTTTTCCAAACGAAGGTTGGGTGGTCTCTCTGGGAACTTCGGCTTCCTCCACAATATAAACTCACCGCCACGAAATAGCATGAAAGTGTTGAAAGTGGCGGTAAATATAAATCAATCAACAAATTAATCAATCAATCATCCATACCGGTATAATTATGGCCTCTAAATCTATATCTTTATTCTCATAAAGTCAATGTATGACATCAGTACAGAGATAACAATAATTACTTTACAATATATACAAAACAAGAGAGAGAGGTTTCAAAAGTCTTTAGTCAGGAGGTATACAAAATTTAAGATATATTTCTAATTCTCTTTCCAGATCTTCTGGTATAGTTCTGTTAAGTCCTGTAATATTTTTACTCACTAAGAATTTTTTTTAGTCAATCAAAAGTAAAGAAAATAGAAAAGGTGATAAGTTTACTCCTTGTCGAACACCATTGTCACAAGCAAACAAAGTATTTCGAATTATAGTTACTAGAAGATGCCAGCGAAAGCGCGGAACAATTGGGCAAGTGTTGAAACAAAGAGTGTGGACACAGTAAGGATTTGGACACGTTTACTGCATTTAATTCTTTTTCTTTAAAGAGACGAAAACGAGGAACATAATGCAAAAGACGGGCATCACCCCATTCATCTCTGTTGGAAAATAAAAATATCAAATACCATAAATTGAAAAAGTGTGGCAAAGTGTGATTTTCAGTGGGTTTTTTTTCCTTTTAACTAAATAACCGTATGAACTACGTAAAATCCTTTGACATTACCGAAAAGGATCAAAATGAGTACACAATGAAAAAAATCCCATCTAATCGGATGAAAAATAAAATCCAAAACACTTCACCAGGAATCAACCCCTCTGTATCTCAGAAACCGTTGACGCCATTCCAAATCTGTTGTCATACTCAAGTTGCAGAATTTTATTAGCAATTTAAAAATCTCCATTAAAATAAGTTGAAAATAAACAATCTGTATATACAAATATGTGAACATTAACCAACCTGACCATTTCGCATTTCGCGGGCAGTACGTGGACTAAGCATGCGGTCTCCAAATTTGGATATTTTGGCTTTTTCTGTGGAAAAAAGATTGTTTCAAAGACAAATTAAGGAAGTACAAAACACTACATGTATACGTCATATCACAAATATTTCCGACTTTCAAATTGTATGGTTTTGTAGGAGTAACACTACATTATACATCTTACCATTTATATTATTCAATAACATTTTATAAAACAAACCATCTCGCCATATTATGCACGAGTAGATAATTTTATAGCTATTGTTGTGAAATTTTTAAAACTGACTGTGAGTTCTTCTTCTTCTTCAGTTATACAAATAACTTCAGGATACTGAAGATTACTTGTTGTTGCGCATGCGTGTTTAAATTTAATTTTCTTGTAGATGCCAAAGAACAAAAAAAATATATACAAATTTGACAATTTGTGCATGTATATTACAAAAACTAGTGATTAAAATAAAAATTATATACAAAAATTTAAATCAGTTGGCAGAGAACACCTTGTGTAAGGTGTGCTCTGAAACTGTCAACTGTGGTTGACTGTACTGTGGCTATAGGTAGCATGTTCCATTGTATGATGGTGTGTGGGAAAAATGACCACTTATATGTTTTCTTTGTGGTTCGTATATGTCTATAAGTATTTGGATGGTTTTGTCTTGTTCTACTGTCTGTTGGTATTAAAATTTCAGATGGTATGGCAATGAGGCCGTGAATTACTTATTTTAATGGAGTTCAATGGTGCATTTTGCAATGCATAGAAATAAGAAGATGTTTCATGAGAGCCAATGAGAAAACTCTCCATCCAAGTCATAATTTGTAAGAGTAAACAATCATAGGTCAAAGTACGACCTTCAACACGTAGCATTTGCTTAACCCAAATAGCAAGCTATAAAGAGCCTCAAAATTTGTTTTATCATATTTTCGCCACAGCCTCAAATTTCTCCAATTAGCTCATGTATTAATTGATCTTAATCTCCCTCCGAAATGTTTGAAACGTTGATTTTGTTAAATTGCATTGTCTCATTTTTCCTATTAATTGCACTCTCGCTAGCGATAGACACATATTTGAGCTGGGTTTATAGTTTACAGAAGCAGATCGGAATCAGTTATGACGTAGACAGTAATCATTCTAATCGTAATCATGTTCATTGACCATAACGACGATGAAAGCACATCATATAATGACGTTTCGACATCATATAATGAAGTAAACCAAACCACATCATATAAGATTACAAGCACATAATATAATGACACAACCACATCATATAAAGATATTTGCACATATTATAATGGTAACTGCACATCATATAATGATATGTACACATCATATAAGTATATCTGCACATCATATAAGGATCTTTGCACATAATATAAGTACATTTGCACATCATATAAGAATGTTTGCACATCATATAAGAATGTTTGCACATCATATCAGTACATTCGCACATCATATAAGTACATTTGCACATCATATAAGTATATTTGCACATCATATAAGTATATAAGCACATCATATAAGTATATATGCACATCATATAAGTATGTTTGCACATCATATAATGATGTTTGCACATCATATAATGATGTTTGCACACCATATAATGATGTTTGCACATCATATAAGGATGTTTGCACATCATATAAGGATGTTTGCACATCATATAAAGGTGTTTGCACATCATATAATGACAAGTGCACATCATATAAAGGTAAATGCACATCATATAATGAAAATGGTCATAACAAGACAGTGTTGGCGTTCCATATTGCAATGTGAACAACTTTGTTAGGTCATAAGCTACATTTATTACAGCAAGTATCATGAGTATTAAATGCCGCATATACAGTGTACGATAGGCATATTCTACCGAGAACTGAAGAGATGAAACACGATCATCAGAAAACTAGCTGTATGTGTAAACTAAGTATCGACGCAGGGATGTATTAAAACATTTTCTGAGAATGAATAGAAAGGTGCCATTAGATGAATCTGTGATATTTCACGCTGTCGAAATGTTTGTTTGTATTTGGACTTATGATTTCACTGTCGTCGCTAGGATATACCGCACTAGGACTAATCAGATGCAAGAACTCGCAGGCTAAATCAACGTCGATCTAAATAACCGTTGATTGTAAAGAAAAAATGAAGCTGAAAACTAAAAACTCCATCTATATGAATTCACATAAATTGGGACTGATGTCGGGTACAGAAGATGAATTAACATATCTAGCACCTGTCATGTGGAAGTGTAGTCAAGGCAGTACAACCGTCATGTTGTACTATAAGCAGGCATACTATCAGGGGACAATCATCTGATATTCTGTGATCGGGAGAGGGCTGGAGGATTTTAAAAATGACTTTTGTGGCATGGCAGGAACTGCAATTAAAAACCTTACCCATAACAGATCATAACAGAATGAAAATAAATAGTTTAATACCAAACAAAATGCAGGATATTAATGTGTACAAAAGTGAAACTAAATTTCCGCGCGAAATAAAGCAATTCGTCTAAATTATCTCCTTCAATCGAGAAAACGGAAGACATTGTGGGGATGAAGCGCTGTCAGTTTAGCTCTTGAATACCAAAAAATCTATCAACAGCATTAAAATCCTTACATGACAGTTGTTTTGTAAAGGACAAATGTATCTACTAACTTTATAGACTCATTTAATGTACTTTTATTGCTTTCGTTTGCTTAAAGATATTGTATAATAAATGAATTTGTTTTACATGTAGCAATAAAATCGATGGAAATGCAAATTACTGGAATGTATGACACATGACCATGATGACGTTGCTGCTCTTATTTTAGACTTGTATAAACCAGGAAGTTATTTACTATAAATAGCACTTTAGAAAAATATGGCGGTTACCAACTAGGAGATGGGTTTTCCAATTGTCAGGTAAAAGGAAAAACATTATGTTCTTGAAGAAATTATTAACAAAAATAAGAAATTATTGGTTATTAAAATAAACGTATTAAATGTTATCTTTAATAAAAGAAACTTAGCACAACTGATAAACATATAACAGCGTAGCTAAAATTTAAATTACGATGTTATTATTTTTCATTTTGTTTACATAGGTAAATGACAGAATTTAAGTAGTATTATCATGCATCTAACGAAGTAGATATCAAGAATGTATATATACGACTGAGTTTTGTTGTTTGTATATATATTCTTAAATTGTAAATTATTAAATATATACGTGATGTGAAACCCAAAACGAAAGAGAAAGTGCTATAATAAGATTGCAATTTAATCCTTAGTTCTGAAAATTTACAATGAAGGTTATAAATAATTTGAGCCATTCTTATTTTTTGTCTATCCTAACAATAAAGTATGTACAATATGTGAGAGATATTAGTCCTGACAAAATGTGTCCGCATATACACAAATTGCTAGTATAAAAAGTCCCTGGTTACGGAATTTGCTAGTATTTTTAGTGTGATGTCAGCAATTAATGTCCAAGGATAAATTTCCTAGTTAAAAATGTCCATGTCCTATATTTTGCCTTCTAAGAAAAATTCTTTATACCATGTATACTGAAAGAAATCATTTAAATGAAAATAATGAAATGCTATTTTTTTTTTAAAGTTGTACATTATTCTTTCATTATTTAATCAAAATATGGGTGTTTTTTTAAACAATTACACAGGACTTATTTTCCTAGGAAAGTTGATAACACAGACTTATATCATGTTTATAACTAAAAAATATGTTTCTTTAAATTTCTTAGTTTTGAAATAATGAATGAAAATAACACGTTAAATAATTCCATGCGTCCGAGCCGCTTTCCTGGATTTACCTTCATCAGGAACGCTCAAAGCCGAATATTTGAAAGCCGAGAAAGTATAAGAACCGAAACAGTTGAGGAGCTATATGACAAAACAAATACCTAAAAAAAGCCAAATCCATCTAATGTCAAAATTGAATTATATTAAGAAATGTCTTAAGAATTGATATGTCGAAGGGACTTTAATTGTTTCCTTAGAAAAAAATTATAACATGGACTTTTTTAACTAGGAAATTATTAAGATTTTTTTCAATATTCAACTATTTTATATTTTCATAATTTGGATTAAATAGGGGAAAAAACCCATCATAGATACCAGGATTGAAATTGTGTACGCCAGACGCGCGTTTCGTCTACAAAAGACTATTTAGTGACGCTCGAATCAATAAGTGCCAGACATATTCTACTAGCTATGTACTTATTTTCCTTGGAAAATTTATCGTGGGACTTCATTTTCTAGTAAAATTATGGTCATGAACTTGATTATCTAGGAAACAAAGTAAGGTGACAATTTTTACTACCATGATACCAAATTTACTGTTACAAATACACGTGTAAAGCTTACGATGCGAAAATATGCTGTGCAACCAGAAAAACTTGGAGTTAACTCATTGACGGCACAAAACTTTTCTTCTAGAGTAATTCAGTATTAACATATTTTATTGTCCAAAACAATGACAATAAGACCAGACACAAGTTTTTGGGAACAATTTTAGTTGAATATATAGTACACCCTTGTCTAATTAGTTGAATAGGTGAAAATCGCATATTGACCTTTAAATATATGTTTATGGGTTTTTTTCGGTTACTACCTTATTGACGTATACCCCACATATTTAGTTCCAGATTTATGTACTCTTGTTAGATTTCTTTGTCAGTTATAGTCCGTAATTTGTTGATATTACCACGCATCTGGTCTTCAAAGTAAAGATGTAGAGTTATCGGAATCGACATGTAGAGAAGAATATCGCTCAAATGCGTGTTAGATATCGCTTAAAATGCAGTGAGGTGCGAGACCTTGCTTTATGTTGAAAGCTTAATCATGTAGACTTTAGAAAGTAGTACAGCAATAAAAGTGGTGTTCTTTTTCTTTGATTTTATTAAGTGCCTATAGAGATTTTTTGTCATGAATTAAAACTTCACATCCCTTTTTCCATATCATTTTAAGTTCACTTCTTTTTCAGCTGTACTTAAAAAATTACAAAAGATGGCAACAGGCGGCACAGGTAGCGACATTTTAATGGTGGCAGCCATTGATTTTGGTACCACATATTCCGGATATGCTTACTCTCTTAAAGGGGAATATGAGAAGGATAAGCTAAATATCCACGCCAATCAGGCATGGAACTCGGGAGGAAAATCTCTGATGTCATTAAAAACTCCAACATGTATTCTCATTAACAAAGAGAACAAAGAATTTGAGTCCTTTGGATACGAAGCTGAGAATGCGTACGCAGATATTGTCATTGAAGACGAGGCAGACAATTATTACTTTTTTGACAGATTTAAAATGATGCTTTACACACGTGAGGTAAATTCGAAAGTTATTCTTTAGCTACATGTAAATTGCAAGTTCTAGAAATTAAAAACATTTACTAAAAATAATAAAATTGAGGACACGGACTATGATTCACAGACACTTGTCTTTGAAGAAAAAATACCCATTTATCTTAATATAACACAAGGTATCCAAACAGATTTTTTGAGAAATGACCTTCCGTAATATTTCGATTCCGCGGTTGTCTATCCCACTGAAACTTGTCCTGTTGTTCATCTACAATAAATTATCTACACAATTTTGTATAGCATGCCTATTTCTGTTTCTGTTGTCGGAATCATTCGAAAGAGGCCTACCCAAGTAGGTCAACCGTGAATATTCAAATTATATATATCCCGGTTTCCAATTGGTCAATCTTCTTGCTTAAAATAAATATTATATGGAGTTATCTCAATTTTATATGTAAATTAAGTTCAGACAGAGTCTAAATGACATTCATAGAATTTGAGATAAAACATAGAAACTCCTAACACATTAGAAATACCTCAAATAACCCTAAATAGATTTTTATTTTACAAATCTACTATATGGATGATAAATTCTATTCAGAGAAAAACTAACAGGTTTTTTTATGAAAACGTTTTCTAATTAATCTTTCGCTACGGTGTCAACATTGCCATTTCGCTGTAAGAAGACGAAATAGTTTACGGTTAGCCTACTTGGAAGGCCTGCTACAATGATTTCGACAGCATAAATAAGCGTGCTATACACCATCGTGTAGATAATTTAATTGTTAAGCATGGGTATGGATAGGACTAAATTACCCAAACTATGCCACCTAACTGCATTTTTTTTAACTATTTAGATTGACTTTTCAAAATATTACATGCTTATAGACTAAATAAAATGAATTTAGGTAGAAAGAAACCAGTCATCATAAACTTAATACACTTCATCAATCTGTTTTGGCATCTTCATTTGTAGTATTATTATAGTTGTTAGAAATATGAACATGCTTTATCAGTTTTATTTGAAAAGAACAGTATAGACAAAATGTAGAACAAAAACGAGATAGAATTTTTGATTTGACAGTGCGTCATTTGGTCATTTTTCCAGTTATCTGATTTCAGGTTACGTGAATTTGGAGCCTTTGAAAAACACAAATAAATGAAAGAGCACAACGTGTCGAAATTTCACTGTAAAATTCAGTTAGTCTCGGGAGTTAATTCGTCTGTGTTGTCTTAAAAATAAAGTGATATTCATGATGAATGTCCTCCTTTTTACATGCTTATAAGCACAATTAATGAGAATATTCCTTTTATGGCCGATTTATTGTTACGGATTAATAAAGTCATGTCCATTTCTTCATTTCCATCCCGTTAATTTGTTTTTTGTATTTTAAGGATATCTCCACAAACATGGAGATCGAAGATATCCGAGGAAATTCTCTACCTGCGATAGATGTTTTTGCTGCAGCCATTGGAGCTTTAAGACAACACATGATGGATCACGTGAAGAAGCAAAGAGTAAACTTGCAACCACATGAAATAAAATGGGTTTTAACTGTACCAGCAATGTGGACAGACAAAGCCAAGGAGTTCATGAGAGAAAGTGCTGAAAAGGTAGATGCAAACATTGTTAAAAAAATATATGTTATCTCTAATTTATTTTAAATGGATTTTGAATGAACAAAGCACAATAGAGACACGCATGCACGGATTTGACTCGAGCATCAAATTTCAACAACAGGCAATATTATATAAAAGTGGTCAAAAGTAGAAAAGTCTGCATCACATGTCACTTCTGAATTTATATTTCATATCTTCCAATGATTTTTACCTAGATATTACCCAGTTTTTTGTGGAAAGCTTCCAACGACAAGAATCATAACTTTGAAACCATAATTTATTAATGATGGTGTAGAATGAAGATGTTTTATTCGTTGAATCAGTTTGTCCACATTTGACCGGTTTAGATTCAGGCTATTTTTTTCGTTCTTTTCCTCATGCAAACTCTCAAGTTTTCAATATGCAAGTTACAATAAAAAATAAAAAAATTCGGCCAGATGAAGCTTTAACTTATATACAATTCTAATCATTCATTCGATTAGGAGGAGTTTCATTAATTCCTTGTTTTCATGAAAGAAGCCGTTGATGAATTGCTCTTGTCCAATCATGCTGTGCTTTGCTTATGAAATAAGGAGACAAGGTATGATTACAAATGAGACAACTATCCACAAGAGACCAATTTTAAATGACGCAGATGTTAGCAACTATAGGTCACAATAAGGTCTTTAACAAAGTTCATTTATGTTTAAATATAGTCATTAGTTGTTTGGTTATTTTTATAATAGCGGTTAATATTAAATCAAAGGCATAATTTCATTTCAGTCTTCACACTGAAGATTGGAATATCATGCATGTCAACGAAAATACGTACGATTAAAACAATATGAATGTATACTTTAATTCCTGTTACTATAAGTACCATGTGCATACTACAATACAAATACAACACAACAATCTTTAATATATACTACTAGTGATCAAAGTGCCCAAATCTGAGCCAAATAATAACACGTTTATTATTGCTACATGACAAAACATACAATACTGAACATTGTTTTTATGATTAAATTGAGTATATAAAAACATACTAGAACACACCCGCGAAATCGCGGGCATTTAGAGCGTGGTTGAAAGTATGTTAACTGTTGTATGATGAATTTTTGTAAAAGATTTTATGACTGGAGAATTTCAGGAAAGGTATCAAAAGTCATAGGTACTTGGGGACAGGCCAATTTTTTTTAGCCCTCCCCTTTTTTCCCCAAGTCCCTTATTTTTTGTTTTCTGTTAATTTCAATTATTTTCGCGTTTTTCTGTATACTATGAACATACATATACTATGAGTAAAGTGTATTTGCTATTTACTATCAATTCCAAGTTTACTATCCACTGCTCTCTATATAATATATATCAGTGACCGCCGTAGATAGTAAACTTAGAATTGATAGTAAATAGCAAATACATTTTATTTATAGTATATGTATTTTCATAGTATACAGAAAAAACGCGAAAATAATTGTCCTGTCCCCAGGTATTTATCATCTTCGCTAGCCAAGGGTTACGATCCAGTCCCCTCCTCTCCAGGGACTGGATCGTAATCCTTGGCTAGCGAAGATGGGTATTTTAAAAAATAGTCCTAAACGGAATCTTGTCTATGACCTAAAAGTCCGTCCGATGACGGAAACAATATCCGGACGCCTTTATTTTCGTGTTCTTCCCAAAATAACCCAAACTGAATAATTATAAGCGAGGATGACAAATGTGACTATGCATGGTACCTATAGGACACAGAGGCATGATGATTAATTTATTGTGGAAAGAAGAGAAGCGACACACAAGATGAGGTCTTCTCATTTAATAGTATAGATGATCATTCTTATCATTTACTTTGCTTTAATGTGTAATAATTCATTTGATTGTATTGCTTAAACTGTGGGCACCATGAATGGTTAATAAAAAATATCTCGTCTACAACGAAAGAATTATAAATTATATACTGGTTAAATGCAGCATAATAATAGTATCTTGTATTTTAGCATCATTTTCATTTTATAGGCAGGAATCAGAAAAGACCGTCTTGTCATTGCATTGGAACCAGAGGCAGCATCTATATATTGTCAACACCTTCCTCCTGATAAAATGACTGGGGCCATCGAGGGGTTTTCTGTAGCAGATGATGATTCCAAATATTTAGTGATAGATATAGGAGGTATGTTATGAAATGGGATAGGGCCGCAGAGGGTTTTTATGTAACAGATGATGATATCAAATATTTAGTTAAAATAATAGGAGGTATATTATAAAATGACAAGGACCGCCGAGGGTTTTTCTGTAACAGATCATGATTCCAAATATTAGTGGTAGATATAGAAGGTATTTAATAAAAAGACAGGGGACACTGAAGGGTTTTATGGACAAGATGATGATTACAAATATTTAGCGGTAGATATTGGATGTATGTTATAAAATGACAGGGGACACTGAGGGGTTTTCTGTAGCAAATGATGATTCCAAATATTTGGTTGTTGGTAAAGGGGGTATGTTATGACTATTTGAAAGTGTTTTTATAAATCATGTTTATACAATTACATTATTGAAAGTTTATCCAGTCGGATTTAGAAAGTTCATCACATCGTAAAAATTCACAATTTGAATGATAAATAAAAGATCATGAAGGGTTCATAGGTAACATTTTGCATGTATTGCTGTCTGTATCCACCCTCATTAATCAACGAGTATATTCAACAAATGCACAGCATTTAATCATGTTAAACATAGAACAGTTTTTAAATGGGCATTAGCTGTCAAATTCATGTTCATCGATTTGACTCACATTCTCATATTTGATTTATAGCATACTAAAACGTATACTAGTATCTAAATTACAAAAAGTTTAGAATAAACAATTAACAATGCATGAACTCGATAACATGTATCAGCATTTAGTGTGTATTTTAGTCTAGGCCATCTAACTCACCATTGAGATGACCTCCGAAGACTGACGACGGTCATATAACCCGATATAAGCATAATTGTAAATATAAATAGATAGCGATCACGTGCAATTGGATTTTTCTAGGTCTGTTTGATTTCATGTTATAGGTTAAAAGGTTGTCTGAGTCAGAAAATTTAAATATATGCTATATTAATCGGACTAATCCAGAGTTAACTTAAAGATTCCTCTATTTGAGGAAGTCCACTTAGATAAACATGATGATGACGATGATGATGATGGATGGCTGCCTAAAGTCCAGCGGCAAATTAATATGCATATTCAGGATGAGAACATGTTAATGTAATATAACCCATGACCTCCCGAACTCTAGACAAACATGCTATCACGAGACCAAAGAGGCGTTTAGCTCAACATGATGGTTCGTATCAGAACTATATGTGATAGGGAGGAATCATCTAACTTCAAGGCGGGGGGGGGGGGGGGGGGGGGAGTCAGAATTTTTTTTCGCGCGAACATTTTTTTTTAGTTTTTCGACGCTATCAATCAAATTATTTTTTTCAAAATTTAACACTTTAAGGTATGGGGAAAATCTGGATTCAGAACAATTTTTTTGTAATCTGCTTGACCACATTATTTTTTTTTCATCAAATTGGGGATCAGAATATTTTTTTTTAGGGAAAAACCATAACCCCCACCCTTGAAGTTAAATGGTCGTTCCCTAATGCCCCTTTAAAAGAATATTTTTCTAAATAGCAGAAACTTAATATTTTCCAAGGAACTTAATAACACAATATTATGACTAAAATTAAATTTATATACAATATAATAAACTGTCAAATTCTTTTTTTCAGGCGGAACCGTAGATATCACTGCTCATCACAAGGTTTGCGAAGACGATCTACAGGAACTTTGTTCAGCATCAGGAGGAGCTTGTGGAGGAACAACTGTTGATAAAGAATTCCTCACATTATTCGAAAATATCGTCCAAGAAAGGGTAATGGAGACGCTTGCTAAGGAGAGTACTGCTAGTTACTTAGATCTGTTGAGAGAGTTTGAAACTGTAAAAAGAACAATCAGTTCAACAAAGCGACAAAAGATCAATTTTACAATACCGTTTACCGATTTGACTGCCCACTGCCTGCGTTTCTTGGAAAAAGAATTTAAAAATGCAGTCGAAGATTCAGAGTATCATAATCAAATAACTTTGGCCGGAGACAAAATGAGAATGGACAAAGACTTAATGAAGTCCCTGTTTAATGCAGCGTGTACAAATATTGTCAAGGAGATAAGAAGCGTACTGCAAAGAGTACCAACAACTAGTCTAAAAACCTTTCTCCTAGTTGGAGGATTCTCAGAATGTCCAATAATTCAAGATGCTATCAAACAGGCATTCCCAGAGGTACATATTTTGATCCCAAGAGACGATCCTGGTCTCGCTGTTGTTAAAGGTGCAGTTCTTTTTGGTCATAAGCCAGATTTCATAACATCACGTATTACAAGGTGCACATATGGTAGACGCATCAGACCATTATTTGACGAATCGAAGCATGATGTAAGCAAACGTGTTGGTGGAGATGGCGAGTATCGGTGCAGGGATGTATTTGAAGAATTTATGGAAAAAGACAGAAAAGTTCAAGTAGACGAGGTTGTAAAAGTCGAATACCATACTGTAATGAATCCCCAGAGTTCTGTGTCTGTTGCTATTTATTATACCTATAAAGACAATGCAAAATATGTAGATGATGAAGGTTGTAAAAAACTTGGTGAATTTTCTGTACCTATCCCAGATCCGACCGAAGAAAGGCGATATGTTGACGTTGAATTTAAGTTCGGAGGAACGGAGTTAGAAGTCACAGCCACCGAGAGAAAGACAGGCGAAAGAATACAGTATAATTACAGCTTATTAAACTAGGAGATGTTGCATAAACGTATTTTACCCTGACTACCGCTTATTGGTGTTAACAATTATTGTACAATTAATTAAAAAGACAATCGATATAGTTGAATTATAAAAACATAAATATATGATTTGTTTGCGCGCAACACGTGTTCTTTAAGAACTTTACCATCGAGACTTCACTTTGTTCAATGCAATTGTTCTTCCTATTGTCTGCAACATGAATAAGAAATCAAAGTACTGAAGTACTGAACATCGGATGACCTCAAGTTGTGTTGGATTATGGATAAATGACAGGTGTTTATATAATACCTGCCAGACAGATATGTTCACCTTACAATATAGTACACATAATATAATTTGCTATCATATCTGAGATATGGACTTGAACTAGGAAACTTAACTTTGTGAATTATCCATGAACTGTTGACGAGGTCAAATGAGACTGATTGTTAGACTGGCATTATGACCTTACTAGTTGCACACATACAAAAATCGTTATCTTATTACTTATAATAGAGAATCAACATAGCAAATAATTCTTCTAATAGTCACTGAACTATGAAAATGAGGTCAAGACAACAGTGAGATATTTATTATTCTAATATCAGAAAAAATCTCATAGTATCAAATCAGAATGCAAGTTCTTTCTATTGCGATAAACAATTTAATCGCATTATTTACTTTAATAAAAACCTCATGATAATTTCTGAATTTACAGTCATGACTTAGCTTGTCAATCTCTGCGCTTAAAAATTGAAGTTTCCTAGGCCTATATGTCATGAATGTGGTTGAAATACTGACAATTTTGCTAACTTTTACCAAAAATCTCTTTTTTTATGACATACATTACAATTTCAGAAAAATAGCTGTATAAAGTTATATATGTATCACATATCAGAATGCTAGTTTGTATCATCATGATTATTGCAATAAGTTGTTATTCAATTAATTAAAAAACATCAATTATTTTTGAATTAATAGCCCAAAATATTAGTCTGTATTCAGTACATACATTTGGTTTTTTTTTAACATCTATTATATACTATTCATTAGCAGAGAATTCATTAGGGAACTTATTAATTTTGCATAAGACACTCATAGGAGTTCACAATTACAGTGGTCTTTATAAACATAATGACACAATATTATTGTTGATATATGTAAACTGAAATCATTGCAGAATTTTTCTTTCAAATGATTTAATGTTGGTTAGTCACTAAGTACTTTATATACTTAACCTGTACTAAAATAAAGAGATGTGGTATGATTGCCAATGAGATAACAGACTAAAAACTATCCACCAGAGTCCAAATAATGTGTGTGTCATGTCTGTTAGCAGTTATACGTCACTTTACAGACATCAACAATGAATACATTTCATTGTTTTCAGGCAGATGAAGAAAAAGAGGAATTGTAGCTTTTTAGCTTATGTACATGAGAATATAAGAAATATAATAATATAAATAAGGAAATAAGAGAGACTTAAAAGACAAGACAACATATAAAGTGTTCCCTTACTAATCCTTAGAGGAGCTGCTGTATACTTAGAAAAAAGGATGTTGAGGACTTGGCCACATCAAACAGCATTTTTAGACACATTATGGTCTATTGCAATCTGCCCTATTTGCTCCAACCTATAAGTATTAAAATTAATGCCTAGGGTGGGAATTAAACCCATGTATGTTCATATATATACTCTTTTGTTCTTTTTGTACATACATGTATATGAAAAATATCAAATGCAAAAAAATGCTGTAATGTTAATGTGGTAATTTACATCATTACAACCTCATTTTTTTAATAAGGACCTAGTAAAGGAAGTCCCTGAACCTAGTTAGACCTATTTCTTAGGCGGATGGATGGTAACGTATAACCACTCTGTAACAGTAAATCCCTTTGGATAAGCTACCCTACACTGTACATAATATGCAAATTAATGATTGGATACGAATTTGTGTCAGCTCTCAAATTGATGGAAAAATGTAAACATTGGAATCCGCCATTTTGACGTAGGAAACAAACTAATTTTCAATCTTGGATTAAAGGACATTGCGCACATTGCCAGCGTATCATGCATAACCAGTCATAAACAAATATATCTTTTAATTTGTTTTCTACACTTACTATTCTGTGTTTTAGTTAATTTAATGTTTTAATTTCCTACAGAACGGAACATCATTCTCAAAGATGCCGTAGAAAAAAATTATAGGTGGGCGTAAACATTTTACATACGGGAACTTTTTGTGTCGACAGATTAACCTTTATCTGTCAGATTCATGCGTTTGCCGTTCAACTGTTACCTTTCTGTGTATAATTTCCTGTATTGATCGCCCCTCCTGTTTCTTTCAAGCTCGCTCTTGATGAATGCGCATTCGTGGTATTCATCCGCAACAACAATTCTTCGGTACGTCATAGATATTAAAGATTGTTTGACTTATTTATAAATATTTCTAACGACAAAACATTGTGTTTAAAAAAAATATTTTTTGGAGTATCCATTGAAAAAAATGAATTTAAAACAAGCGATAAGGAATTTTATTTTGCACTAGATAATGTCCGCGGATCTATAATTTTTATAGATCGGTTGAAAACCCAAAACTAATTTGCATAATGGAAATTTAGGCGATAGCAATACACCGGAATGACCTCACGGTCATCCAATGTAAAAATGGAACAATAGCTTATTTCAAAAACTAGATCGTGACTGTGACAATATCTTATTTTATTAAAAAGTTGTTTCCGTTTATCTAAGAATGAATTTCAAACTGTTTGGAAATACTTCGTGTATGATTCGTGTATGTTTTTTTTATCATAGCAAAATAACAACTGCAAACATGGACATTTGGGCATTTTAATTGCTATTGAACATATTTGCATGCTTTATAGATAGTTTAATTATCTTTTATTTTAATTATGTAGTTGTAATCTTTGATTGTGAATTATGTCATAGTTTCAATTTTTATAATTGATGTAATTACTAGACTATCCTATTTTAAAATATTATCTTTTAAATGTTGTTATTAGTGTATCGCAAAGAAAAGAAGACATTTCAAAGGAAATGCCACGTTCCCTTATCAACAATGATCCATGTTACATCAATTTGAAGTATGAGCTCTCCAGTAGATACAGCTAGGTTACGTTTCAAGTACATTTATCCTTCGATGTTTGCTTATATATATGGATTGCTATTTCTATAACTTTGAGTGGCAAATAAATCGTGCACATTTGATTTGCTCATTGAAGGTAGCATACGCTTTTTCATGTTCGTTGGTGTTGACGGTCATCACGTATTTAAATTCTTGTATCTATGCTAATCATTTTTTTTCCCTTATACAGGTATGCTCTATATGCCCCATGTGGGCCCTTAATTGGTAATAAAATATGTTCTTGTTCTTGTTCTATACTCAACAAAATAGTTAAGAACCACTTCTATTTGAAATAACATTTTCACCAAGGGCTATACAATCATGAACAAAACTTCTGTGTTTTGAAATACGACACCTGGTGAGATGTCTCGTTCAGACAATTTCCCAATTTACATCGTATTTTTTATTTTTTTTATTTTAGTTTTCAAAAACCACCAGTTCCCCCAAGATCTCTTTTTTGTCAATTTCAATGAATTCAGTCACCATTTGTCTACCAATACATTGAGATTTAGCAAACTCAGTCTACAGAAAAATGAAAGAAAAGATGATACGTTTAGTCAAATTTTTTTTGTTTGCATTTTTAGTAACAAATATTTAAAAATACTCCTTGGTAACAAAATCATCGTTAGTTGGACACACTTTATGCAAGGTATCAAATTTAATCACAAAAATAAGAAATCTGGTGTACTTTTCAAGGAATTAATACCACATGGAACATTGACTTCATTCACCTTTAATGAGTTCAGATCAGTAATCAATAATCAGGGGAAGCGAGGTTTCTCAGTGCAATTCTGAAGTCCATGGTTTAATTGCATATAGGGTCGAACTTGAATAATTTAATAATGAAGAAAAAATGATATCCCTTAACTTTTTGTTGCGTAAATTACGCTTAATTGCTTCGTGCTCCGTCATATTTTTATACGAAGACACATTGGTTTTCTTACAATAACTTTAGTTTAAGTAAATGGATCTCTATGAAATTTTACCATAAGGTACAAGTGTGGACACAGATCAGTGTGGACAGTATGATTGGATGTTTGACAGTGTTTTATATGACAAAAGGAGTTCTATGTTTTATGTTTTCTATGTATTAACTGTGTTGCACAAGACAACCAACATGAGCATTAGGGGTGTTGTTTATGTAATATTTAGTTTTTTTATGTTCAACAGATACTAATTGCATTTAATTACCAAATGATTATGATAGAATATATATGTTCCACATCTTTGATTTTGGATACATTTTGTAGCTAGGAGAGGAACACATAATAGGTTCATTTTTTTCTTAATGTGATTTTTTTTTATATGGGAGATGGTATCCGAGAACATGTATTTGCTTACTATTTGTATGGTTCTATTTATATTACTTTGTGGGGGATTGTCAGTATCATAAGTAAAAGATTTCGGTTAAATGTGGAAATTGTTTCTCAGTTTAGAAGACATTTAATGTTTTTTAGTAATGACAATGCCTGACATGATGATTGGGGCTAGATGAGCTAGAAAGTGAATTTCTGTGTTATTTTTTATTAATTCTTTGAAAATATCTCCTCCAAAGCTGGTCAAAGCAAAAAAAAGTTTTGACCAGTATGAAAATGATATCAACAAAAGAACCTTTGTGAGCATGCTTCAAAGACTCATAACTAACTACAGAAGTCATATGATAAAATGTCAAGTGGATATTATGAACATCTACTTAATATGTCTAAATATCTAAAAAGTTTTAGTATTCAATATGAAAAAGCTATTGCAAAAGTATTCTCTTTTCAGTTTTTTTGTTATATGGATACAAATATAAGTGATACCAATACAGTAAGGCAGTTTTGTTATGGTATGAAAGTGTAGTAACTAACATTTACTGTTAATTCACACAAATTAAGAAATAAACAAATGAATGATAAATGTTGAACATGTACAATGAAATATATTTTAGAAATCAATTAGGCCAGATAGGCCTTATAAATTCTGATCTTTTTCTTAATATACTGAATGACCATTTACACTCAGAACTGAGTCACCAGTAGGCAGTACAGATGTTCAAAAAAAATAAATGTGGATAGTGTCCACATGTGGACACAGATGATGCCCCCACTTGCATATCATATAGTTATAAAGGGACATAACTGAAGTGGTAAAAGTGACGCTACCCAAATTTGAACTTGATCCTAGTTTTGTGGTAATAAGCATTGTGTGCAAGTCTCATAACATTTGGTTGAGGCTAACTTAAGTAGAGAACAGAAACTAAAAATTCAGCAATTTCTATTTGTAAACACGCAATAAATAATTATAACTCTAGAACGGTTGTGTATAAGTTTTATAACATTTGGAAGTTAGAGAACAGAAACGAAAAATTTAGCAATTTTTATGTTTATAAAGGGACATAACTCAAGAATGGTAAAAGTGTTGCCACCAAATTTCGTACTTAATCTGTATTATGTAGTAATAAGCATTGTGTATAAGTTTCATAACATTTGGTTGAAGCAAACTAAAGTTAGAAAACGGAAACAAAAAATTTGTACTTGATCTTAGTTTTGAGGTAATGAATATTGTGTATAGGTTTCATAATGTTTGGTTGGGGCAAACTTAAGTTACAGAATGGAAACTAAAAATTTTGCAATCTTTCAATTTATAAAGGGGCATAACTCAATAATGATTAAAGTGACACTACCCAAATTCAACTTGATTTGTGTTTTATCAGTTGAAGTCAAAATTAAACATTGCATTGTATAAAGCATTGATTGTAGCTGATTCAACTATAATCATGGACAAAGGAAGATAACTCCAATTAAAAAATTACTTGATATTTAGAAGAAAATAAAAATTTT